CACCGCCATGCCCCGTCCTGCGCCGCCCGCCGGGCTCCGGCTCCGGCTCCGGCTCCGGCTGCTGCTGCTGCTGCTCGGCGCGGGGGCTGCCGCCCGGGGCGGCGGAGAGGAGCGGGAGCTGCACGCGTGCAAGGAGGTACCGGGCCCGGGCTGGGGGCTTGAGCAGCACTGATGGCAGGTTTTTCCAAGCCCTTAGGTCCGAGGGGGCGCACCCGATTTTGGGGGTCCCCTAATGCCCAGCATCCTGCTCCCCGACTGCAGCGGGGCTCAGCCTTGCCCTGCAGGAGAGAGACTGCCCAGCCTGCGGGGCAGGGAGAGGGGCCTGCTGGCCCGCTCGCCAAACCGGCGGTGCCAGGCGCCCCGGCGAGGTGCCCATCCCGCCTGACTTCTGGCCAAGGGAACAGAAGCGCTTTGTGTGGCATCACTGGGGCTAGCGCCCTGAGCCAGGACTTCACCCGCTGGCTGAATGGGATGCCCTGCCTAGTTGGTCCAGACGGTTCATAGCCTATGGGGCGAGAGATGGTCTTATAAAAACACCATGAAAATCCCTGTTGGGATGGTCAGTAGCACTGGGAAGATTTATCAGGGGAAATGTGGTTCCCTGCCCACCCCCCTCCTCAACACGCGCGCACAACTTGCTTGGCGGCCCCCCGTGAAGGAGCAGTGCGAGCACGGCGCTCCTGAAACGGGGGCTCTGAATGGGCTGGGAGTAAGGAAAATGTGTATGTGCTCGTCACAACAGGAAAGAAAGAAAAAGAAGTGCTGTGCCGGGCCGGCGAGCGGAGCTTAGTGGGACTGTGTTACTAGACAAGCAGGTGGGACCAAAATGTTTTCCAGGTAGCAAAGGGGCAATTCCTAAAGGAAGGTGGCTGCAAGCCAAGTAACGATGTCAGGAAATGGCAGGCACTGATAAGTCTCAAGTGTTTAGCGTAGCTTTCTCTTAGGTAGGTGGGAAGAATTGGGGTTTTCATATGATCCCTGTTTTCAAAGATTAGGATAGCAAATTAACATGCAAAATATGTGTAATTAGACAAAATGATGACCGTTATAATGAAGAAAAAGGGTGGTGGAGAAGAATGCTGAATGCAAGGTGCTACTTGCAATTAGTCGCTTGTGCTTGAGCTTGCGCCTTTCCAAATTGATGGCAGTTTTTCTGTTGGCTTGAGTGACTACTGGATCAAGCCCTTAGATCAAAGGGGGTGTCTCCTTATCCCCAGCGTCCTGTTCCCCAACTGCAGTGGTACTTATTCTTGCCCTTAATGAACTCAGTAGAAGGGCTTACACGGACTTCAGTGGGATCAGGAGATCCCTCCGTGCTGGAGTGAGTTTCTTCCTTGCTGTTTACTTGTAGCTGTAGTTCGCATTCTCCTTTTCTGCTTGCATTGCATTGCCAAGTAGTATTTACCTTGGCATCTGCTGTCTTCTGTGGCCCTTAAGGATTTCACAGATTTATTTCTGGCAGAGAGATGACTAGCAATATACATTCATGAGAAGGCTTGCAGCTGGAGGTTGCTATTACAATGTACTGTGTGTCCAACCTTCCCATTCTGATCCTTCTGTCATTGCGGGCCAGTAGCAAAGTGTTTGTGACCACACCAGAAGTCTGGATTGGGTCTGTTTTAGCTGGGTGATGGGATGATTTTTGAAATTTCAGTTTTAAATCAGATTGCATTTTTTTTTTCATGCTGGTGATAGCTCTGTCCTTACCATGTGGAAGGAATGGGAGTGCAGCATGTCTTATACCAGTTACCCAATAGGAGCAAGGGCTACAAAGGGTAATAGTTTTGGCAAATTATCTAATTTTTTAAAACAAAATACTAGCCGCAAATGAATGCGTCCAGTTAGTAACAAGTGCCAATGGAGATGTCTAGGTTAGGGGAAGCTGATCTGTCTTTCGCTGGACAGGAGGGATCTTTCTCGTCTCTCTGGATCTCTTTCTGATCGGAGCTATTGCTCTTGCAGTGCTCAGGTGGGGTAAATCTGTTGCTTAGGGCCTGTCAGGTTGATTGGCGTAAACTGGCATTGCTCCACTGACTTCAGTTTATGCCACCTGAGACTGGCCCACATTGTCATCCTGATCAGTGTCCATGTGTATGCTCTGCTGTCAGCAGTGTGCTCTCGGGGACCAGAGCCAGGATCATCTTTGTTTTTATTGGGCTTCTTCTGTTCTTCCTGCAGGACTAGCCCTTGTGAGGTCTGGGGATGGATGGCTACAGATGATGATATAGTGACCTGGGAGGTTGCCAGCTGGCCTTTGGACAAGTGGGAGACTATGGCAGGTTTCAGAAGGGATAATAGTTGTCACCAGATCACTTCTGCTTGAGTTTCACGATATGCGTCTAAAAGGTCAATCCCATGCAAACCAGGGAGGGCCAACCCAGTGTTAGCAGCTTGCAGCTACCTCAGGGTTAGCATTTGCTTAGCAAAGAAGCTTGTAAATACTTGGCTTTAAGGTTCTTGCCCTCCTGCCTATGAGTGCCTGAGCATTGGATGATCCTAATAAAGCACTGTTGGCTATTATGATACCTTACAACGCTCAGAACAGATTTCTGAATCTATGAAAGCTTTTTATACCAAGAAGTCAGCTCCTACCTCTGGTTAGCCTATGGTACCAGTTTCCTGTCGCCCATTCATTAGACATTTCAAATAAGCTCCCTTATACTTTCTCCCATGCTGCCCCTCACACTTGAGAGGGGCTTTCTGTAAACATATGCAAAGCAACTTCGTTGTCGTAATTAGAAATCCCCCGCACTGCGCGTATAAAACCCCTTCACAAAGAGGCTGTTCACGTGCTGTAACTGCAGGCTATTTTTCTTACTAATACCGCCTTAATTTCCTTGTGCTCCCATGTCTGTATCCATTTCTTATCTTCTATTTAGATTGCAAGCTCTGTGGGGCGTGGGTCATCTTGTTCTGCTTGCACCGGTGCCTAGTGCAGTGGAGTCCTTATGCTACAGTAAAAGCTTCTGAAATTCTGTGCCATTCATGCTGCTGCTTTTGAAAACCCATTAGGCTGTGCACAGTAATGGCTGTCTGCTGCGTGCTGACACTGGTGGATCAAAAAACTGCCAAAATGAGCCTTTCTGCCTTGTACTATTATCAGTAGCCAACTCATCTGGAACCCCACTGGTGAACAAAATTTGCAGTAAGTTCTTGTTGCTGCCATGGAACCGATCCATTTAGAAAATGGGACTAGCAGGCTGCAATAAGAGGTGGTCTTTCTTGTTCGATTTGAAAAGATCAGCGCCAACATTGGACTAAAGTTGATCAGGAATTTCGTGTGGCTGGAGTGCTGCTCTTGCATTTTGTTTCCTGAATTGATTACAGATTTCATGGTTGGGTATCTTATCTCTGATGGCAGCATTTCATGCCTGACTGGAATAAGAAATCTCTCTTTGTGTTCTTGCCTCTTCAGTACCCTGGCAGGCGTGGAGATCATGCTTAGTATTTTTGCCCTCTTATGTGCCGATATTGTGGCATGCCGTTCTGTGCACGGGGTTTCACCATATGCGGCAATCTCGTCTGCCTGCCTGTCCCTATGGAATTACTGAGCCATTTTGTTTCCCATTTGTGTTGGTCACATTTCGTTCAGAAAATGGATAGGGCTTGTCGTTTCAAATTCATCTTCCAGCTTTCATCTTCCTTGCTTTCTGTGTTTACATGTAATCTGGAAAGCATGGACACTACCTGAAGACCTTAACTGGGTTTGTATTTTGTGTTTAATGACTGCTTTGGCACTTGATTTCTCATGGAAGTCATTATACAAATTGTCACACTAAGGTTTTGAAATGCAGCTTCCAAAGGTGTGATGATCTGGGTTTTTTTGGGGTTTTTTTGCCTGCTCCCATAACCATGTGTTGCCAGACTTTAATATTAGACTTTAGGTAGTGGCACTGGATTCATAATGCTTGAACAAGAATAGTTTGTTCTCTGAAGAGAACAAACAGTGATTTGCAATTTCAAGTATGGAACAAAGCACAATGCAACTGAAAACAGCCAGCATTTCAATTTTTGAGCTGAGGGTAGCTGTGCTGTGGCTTGCCATGATCATCTTTCAGAAGGATTGCTCCCAAGCCAGATCTAAATCTTTCCGTAAATGGGGTTTTTTGCTTGCCCCAGTGCCATTCTGCTTTGTCTTCAAGCATTTTAAGCTGAGTGGGGCACTCACAAGTGACAAGTCGGAGCTGAATTTATTGAGCTCTGTTAGTGTGGTGCACCAAGTCAGGCTTGCTAAAACCTGTTGGCTTGCCTTAAAAAAGGAGAATGGCCTTTCCATTTGGAAGTTTAGATAGGGTCTCCTCAGCTTTTCTGAAGGTGCAACATTTGCATTTGACAGCCATGTTCTAACCCCCTAATTAGTCCTGTAATCCAAATCCATAGCCTGTTGGGATTTGTTGCAGTGGCCGTACTCTAAATACAGTTGATTTTTGTGTCTAAATTCATTCCAAAATGCCTAATATTAGCTTCTAGTCAGGCTGAGGTCTTGTTCTAGGTCTTAATACAACCTCAGA